GGGGGGGGGGGGAGGGGGGGGGCAGCAGGGTGATGTCAGCAGGTCATGGTGTGCGTCGGCTGTGAGGACACAGAAATGAGGGTAAGAGATAAACAGAACAGCAATGCTGCCTGTGTGCGCGCGCTCTCTCCGAGGTCGTCCTCTCTCTCTGCAGCTAGAAGTGATGAGGGATTAGCCTGGAGCCTAGCAGTTATCCCTGCATTAACCTGCCAGGCCAAAAGCAAAACCTTCAGTCAATTACATGGATTAGCATTAGCTTAGCGATGGCGTGTTTGTGTAGATGTTGACAGAATATCACTCATATACTTGAAAAACAACTTGAAATGCCTGTCCACATGGGACACTGCTGCAAAATAGCTGGAGACGAGATAGGACAGTTTACTTGTTGCATTCATATCCTTCAGCTGAACAGAGATGTACAGATCAACCCGGCTCTGTCTTGGTCTCGTTTGGCTTTGCTTGTGTATCACGTGTGTCTCTGCCTTCTGACGTGACAACAGATGAAACGCTGATGAATAAAGAAGAAGCCGGGGCTAAGAAATGGGCTCATCTGAGGCTGGAGCTGAGGACCAGCATGGGGTTAATCTCCTGTTCCACACTGCAGCGTGAACCTGAGTGAGGTTTTAAGAAATCCTCACAATCCCACTCGACACTTGTGACAACACCAACAACTACAAACCCTGCAGAGCTGTTCGCATTGGTACGTCACGCAGCTTGCTACATGTGTTTGGCCAAGGAGGGTAAATAAATGCAAAGCCACTGTGGGAGGTGAGAGCGACAGGTGCATATGATGGAGGCAATTAAAATCATTTCAAATGCGCCTGATTGCCTCATTTTGTGTCACAAACCAGTCATATCTAACCACACAGACATGACATGAATACCTTCAGATTCACTGTGATTCAATCCCATCCATTCAGAATGAATCTCTGTAAACGCACTTAGCAATCAGAGGAACGGAGGCTCCAGAACCTGCCTGAGAATCCTCACTGACTTAGTTTTCCTCAGTATCACAGGCATCCAGGACATGCATGTGTACAGTGAACACTAATGCGGTCCAACTTTAATGTTGCTAATGTGTGGAAAAGAGGAGAAGGCAGAGTGTCAAACCCCCACGCTACGTCATCTGGGTCCACCAGCCCCCAACCCACTGGGCCTGTGCAGTAACGCTGTCATCATCATCATCATACACCGGGCCAGTCTCTACAGAAACTGGGCACGACTGGTGTACTGTCAGTCATCCCCCATCTGAAAGGAGGCTTCAGACACTCCAATTGGCATGTTGTTTGAACTGTACTGAGGCCTGCACTCTCCTCCAGTTCCTCCTCTCCCCCTCGCTCCCCCTCTGTGGCGCTCTGAAGCTCTAACTGCTGCACACTAATGCTTGTGACGATGCAGGGGAACAATGGGACCGACAGTCTGCAGCCTGAGTGAGACGCAGAGAGGCAGCAGAAAATCGAATGTGTTGCTCTCCTAACCTCTCCTCCTCTTCCTTAACATGGTCATCACTCTGTGCCTCCTCCCATCTCCTCCACCTCCTCATCACTGCTTCTCCTCTTACATCACTAGGTGACAAAGCAGAAAAGAAGAAGGCATCAGGGTGACGCGCTCTCCTCTCATCACCTCCTACCTGTCATCTCCTCACCTCTGCCGCCTCATTCTGTCATAGGAAGTGACAAATGAAAAGCAGAGGGGGTCCCAGAGGTGGCGAACGCTCCTCTTCTTCTTTTTCTTCATCTTCTGTGGTTCAGTAATGAACTCAAAAACAAAAAGGGACATGCCATTCTCTTGAAACCTGCACTTGTCTTTTCTTACTGAATTTACCCGTCTTTCTTCCTCCTCATCTCCATCCACTGTGATGGTCACCGCCCTGCCTCATGTGGAAAACACGCAGACCAGTGAAAGAAACCCTCCTTAAAACTGTACTGAGCTGCGACCTCAGAACAGACATACACTCAGTGATCTGCCCTCAGCAACATGTTTAGACAAACCCTAACTCAAACTGTTGATCAGTAGTACCACTACACACCCGGAGACTACCCATCATGCACCACTGGAGTGCATTAATTCATGCCGGGATATCAGCTGATGTGTCAGTACATAACAGAACTAAGTGACTGTGGATTGAAGTCTCCCAGCATTACCTCTCTTCCTCTCATTAGCTGCTCGTTACCTCTTATAAAATGCATGTGTGTGTGTAGAAGGAGGACAGGCGGGCAGGGTGTTAATTATTCAGAACCGTCGTCAGACCTGGAGGATTCTCTGACACCTTTTCCACCAAATAATGAAAATATGAAAAAGTGACTAACCTCTCCTGAGTCGAGCAACAGCTCAATATGCCTCTTTGCTGAGTGTGTGTTTGATTCCTTAAGTCATTCATTTGCTCCTCGGAGCCAAAGGAGCCCTGATGTCAATTCTCATTCAGCTCGACGAGGCCGAGACAAACCGCCCGCTCAAATGAACAAACACTCACACGCAGTTCACCTCTGAGAAACTCTGGCTCCGTTCAGGCCTTGTTCAAAATACTTCCTCTGGAGCCAGGTCCCATTTCTCAAATGTAATTTACACCTCGACGTCTGAACAGTGGCCACACCGGAAGCACTCACAGGTAACGCTCACACCAGGCGGCCTGTCTGCAGCTACTCGTTCTAAATGAGCCCGTCTCACATCACGTGTGATCGCAGTGCTACAGCGCTGAATCCAGAGATGCATCCCTCAGAAGGAGAGACTGGTAAAAACCAGCTGGGGGTCTGAGCGGGGTCTGCTTGCCGAGCAAAAACAACCAGTAGAGGGACCTTCACCTCCATTAGACTAGAGTTCTTCTGTGCCTTTTACACCCAGAGCTGCCACTTTTTATTCAAACCTTCATTGAAATGTGGGAAGAAATTTAACCTTTGTTCAAATTGTAAAAGTATAGTCGATAAGCACAAGTAAGCGTTTGAAGTTTGCCCAGCAGAATCTGTTCATTTGTCCAAAGTCACTCTGAGCCCGACCTGCTGGTCAGGACGCAGAGCGATAACATCACAGCTGGGATCTCAGAGGCAGCGAGTGGATGTACTGTGGTGCTACACCGCGGACGGGGAAATGACCAGCCAAGATAAGGCTGTGCAAAAAGCAGCTGCCTCCCTCTACAGCAGTACAGCTCTGCGGACTCCCCTACTGCTGTCACACAGGCGGGAGGGCACATGTACCAGAAATCAGAGAAGTGACGTCACCGGACCCAACCTGTCACCAAACTGACCCTCAGCAGGCAGGGAAGCTTGTGAAAGCCGGACAGACAGGAGGAGAATTAGAAGTGTCTGATCACAGGTGGCTCATGGCTACCTATGTTATCTCACTTTGTTGGTTTGCTGGTTTAAAGACGTCTTATTGTCTGGGTTAAATCTGGCTGAAAAACATCTGAACAACATTTAAATGACCATCTAGAGCAAAGGGCCTGCAGGGGAAACAGCGCTTTGGTCGGCTGGTAGCACCACAGCAGGAAACGTTCAGTCAGGGCAGACGGTCATGTAAAGGAGAGGTAAAAATGGCAACATTTACATGAGGAAATCTCTTCAGACAAATGTCAAAATCAGCTCATCAGGGTCCTTTAAAGGAGAAGGACAGTTAACTGACTCAGGTCAGACAGCACTCGACTCACAGTCAGATGGATTTGATTTCAGGATTAAACCTGGACGTTTCTTATCTGTCCTTCTGCTCTTCTGTCCGGCGATGATGATGATGCCACCGTCATTACAAACAGCAGTTTTTCTCAGCAGGAGGCAAAATTCAGACTTTTGCCTTTCAGTCATGAGAAGCACCTTGATATTCCTGTTAAAACTCCACTCCTGACTCTAATGAGCCACTTGGCTCAGTTTGCAGCATCTCTTTCACTTGATTTTGTTTTGTTCTTGCCGTTTGGTTTCTCATTTCAGCCAGTTCACCTCCGTCTGGCAAATTCAGACCTTCCTCTCTTGCTGATTATTTATCATGTCTCAGGCTGGTTTCAGTCTCACCCACACACTCTCAATGTCTTCTCGTTTTTCACAGTTTGATGTGCATGTACTAAACTAATCCACTGGTCCCTCTAGAGATGAACTGACTCGATGGTAGAAATGCTTCGGCTGAGTTTGTACACAAATTACCACCGGTCGAGGGCTGCAATGGACCAATATTTTCATTATTGATAAAGTAATCGACTGGTTGTTGGGGCAGAAAGTCCAAGGTAACATACATGTAACTACAGTCGATTTTGACCCTCAGCTCAAACCCTTAAAAGAATAAAGGTACAATCATATCAAAGTAATAAAAGCACATTGTCAAGGAGCTGGACACAAATCCTGGGTCAACCTTTGTCTTCTGTCGATCTGGAAACCTACTCCTGCCTAGTACCTGGAGTCCTAATGTGCACAGGTTAGCGTATCTGTGCTCTAACGCTATGGGTACTGGCTGTGACGAGGCTGCAGCGGTATCGTACTGTTTTCCACTGTCTACCCATCTGCCTGTGTTCAGCTTCCTGCTCCATTAAAGTCTGAACACTAAGTGCGCTCTTCATCCTCCAAATCTGAAATATTGCTCCTGCTTTCATTTAGATAATTGATAGAAATCAGCCCGCAGCAGCTTCCTGTTTGTGTGCCAGATGATTTGACCCACAAATCACTGGCGGTGCCAACCCCGGGCCAGAGCACCTCGACTGCTCGGTTAGCTGGATAACATGAGAACAGAGCTGAGGTTTTAAAGAGACTGGTGTCAGCGAGGTCACCGAGGGAGTTTATTATGAAGGCTGACAGTTGGCAATGACCTGAATGGCAGCAGATTCAATGATCTAGTCATTAGGAGCATCCAGAGAGGAGGATGGCAGACAGAGGGAGGTGAGGGCCTCCTCTCCAAGACACACAGGGAGTTACACCCCAGACCCAGAAGTGCTGGAGGTGCAGTCTCCATGTACAGCCTTCTGAAGGTTTTCATTTGTTTACCCAGGGTAAGTCCCACTAATGTTAGCAGCCTCTTTTACACGGAAAGCCAAATGCAACACCCACATAAAACTAAAACCAAACAATAGGCTAAAAACATAGCAGGCAACACAAGCGGCTCTCAACCGTGGGAAGTGAAGATGTGCTAAGAACAAGCAGGAGGAGAATCCTTCACCACAGTTTAAAACTGCTTCAGTGTCTGGAGCAGAGAAATGAACTGTTGTTCCATCCATGTCCGACCACTGGGACACAGCAAGTCTGCAACGATACGAAGGAAGTTTATCTAAAATAGCTTTATAAAAAGCTAACGAGTCAAACACCACACAGGGTAGAGAGCACAGTGAGGAGTCTTCTCCATTAAAGCCTGAAAACACAAGGAGTTTTTCCACTGGAGACGACGGGAAAACAGTGAAACGGCTACTGTGACGACAGCGACACAAAACCAGAAGTAGATGAGACACATGAAGAAATGCTGTATCAGGAGAACAGTGAAAAGAGCAGTCACAGCTGAATTTATGGGGACCACACCAGGCTGAAGTAAACCTGAATTATCCTTCAGTTAAACTTCCCAGCGAGTAGTGTTGTGCTAACCAAGCTAGCAGTCACGCCATCCGTCTGAATGGCATCTGAGCCTTACGGATCTCAGATTGATCAGGTGGAAGTCTAGACTCCTATGTTTTCTTCGGTTTTGCATTTTTACATGCTCCGGCATCTGAGCCTCACGGATCTCAGATTGATCAGGTGGCAGTCTAGACTCCTATGTCTTCTTCGGTTTTGCATTTTTACATGCTCATGTCTGCACTACCTAATCCAGACCTTCATATTTACTTCCAAACTAAAGACACTCCGCTGTGTTGTCTGACCCCCATGGGTCTCTGGCATGTGTGTCTGCTGCAGCATGTCGGTCTGCAGCCCTGAGCGAGCATCTCGGGTGTCAGACTGAGACAGTGGAATCACTTTTTATCCTGACAGGCGACCAATCAGCTTCTCCTGCTGCGTGTGTGTGTCAGGCTGAAGGACAAATTCTAAAAAAGACTTTAAAGGAGACAGAAGGAGCCTCTGAAAAATGAAAAGGAGACAATGAACAGTCAAAGTGGCCAAGAGTCAGTGCTAGAGATGTGCACGAGGCTCCATCTCCTCCTCCTCAGGCCTTGCACTGTTTCCTGGGAAGGTTTGCAGTATTAAAGACTAAACTGTGGCACTGCACCAAACTAATCCAAGCTGTAATCAATGTGCAGGCAGATTTGGGAGGCACAGCGACAGATTTGTAAGCTCTGTGAAATCCTGATATCACACCGTTTAAAAGCAGTTTTTCCTCCGGTTAGAACACAGACCCACAGAGAACATGAGAGGTTGCTCGCCAAACACGTTCTGGCTTCTGCTTCCTCTGCTTTTCACAGTAAAAGTCTTTAAGATACTGATGTCTCCAGATTTAATGTGAGAAATATGAACTGGCAAAGCCATGAGTTAAGGAAGCCAAACTGCTGAGTCAGAATCCTTCTGACAGGCCCGAAACTGACTATTCTGTTTTTGTTCACTTGATAAAAATTCCCCTGCACAGTGTTAAAATCATGATTTGGTTCAGTGAAGTTGGCAACATGTTCCCAGGCCTCCAGCTCCAACAAGCCTCCAACTTTCCTCATAATGTTCTATAAATTAGTTGTAAATTACAAGGACGTTTCCCAGAACAGATGCAATTTCCAAGATGCTATTTTGTCCTAAGTGCATAAAATCAGATGAGGGTCAGCTGGAGTGAATGAGAGGAAGTTAAGACAAGTGAGCACCACCACCAAATCATTCAGGTAATTCAGAGGAAACACTGATGATGAATGTGGAACTGGGAAAATGGGAGGAAGTATGAGAGAAAGAGATGTAACAGTGAAGGGAGTGGATGAGAGCAACAGTTAGGACTAATGGCAAAACACACCGAGTATTACAGGAGAAAGATGTTTAAACCAGAACCAAGACAGTAGAAAAGGAAAGGAGCAGCTGGAAAAGGAAAGAAAGGAGGAGAGAAAGAATGAATGACAGCAAGTGAAAAGGAATGAGGGAGAAAAGCAGGAAGATATATGAATGAGAGAATGTGAATAGAAGATGTGCAGCGACAGAAGTAAAACAGACAGGGCGTGGAGGCAGCTGACAGATGGATCAGGGCGAGGATGGAGGGATGTACAGGACATTTCATTAAATTAAAGCTGAGCCCTCCCTCCTCTCGCCATCCCATTCGATCTGTCACTACTTTACTGCTCTGTCTTCTCCCCATTTTCCTTTTTCACTTTTCCATCTTTCTAACATGAGCAGATCTTTCATTTTTCCCTTCTTTACAATCTTCCTCCCTCCTTTTCGTTTTTCTGTTTCACTTGTCTTTCACCCTTCCTTTATTCCTATCTTCCTCTCCTCTGTCCTGCTTTACAGTCTGTCTTCATCCACAAAGGTCACTTTCTCAGCTCAGTGACATCCCATCATCTGGTTACCACGGAAACCGTTACACCTTCCTGATTGGTGGCACAAGGCTGGGCTTGCACTTGTGCACGGGTATACGTGTGTGTGCGCTATACACAGTGAGGACCGGTTAGAGTTTTATACCGTCACTGTGAGACCACTTGTTCAAGCACAGCTGCTTTTCACTGTTTATTTGTGCAACACAACCCGTTTTAGTCTGGAGTGAAGATGTGAACATGCAGCATCATGCAGCGATGCACAGCTGGAATTTACTGTTGCTGCCACACTCTTTATGGACACAACACAAAAGGAAAGTTTACTAGGCCGAAAGGCATTGTGGGAAATGGAGTAAAACGTGGTTTCACTACCACACAAAAGCCTGACCTTCATCACAGAGTAACACACAGAGAGGAATGATGTAGTAACACAGCCGTGCATTCGTTAACATGCACAGCTCCAAATAGAGCAGATGCTTATGTTCAAGCCGCCAATTTTTTTTATTGTTTCTCATCATAATGAGACGCCGCTGCAAAATGATTCAGCTAATGTTCACATCAGTGGAACAGAGATGAATGCACTGCGATGCCTTCACAACAGCTGGGATTTCCATTAATTCAGCAGCTGCAGATGATGTTAGTCATGTTTTATCACATCAGTGTTCAGCAGCATTTTTCAGAAACCACAGTCCTGTACCAATATGCGCGAAGCCCCTATCGAGGTTTTTGTCTCTGATCCCTGTCTGAGTCCTCACAGCTGTATGAAAAGATCTGGACACCCCACTAAGTGTTAAACCTGGGGTGTAGCGCTTCTGCTGCAGGGCTGTGTTGTTTTGTTGTTTTGTCTGAAAGAGCTTTTATATAAAACTGGTAAAGGGTCAGGCTGGTCATGTTCGATATTAATAGTGTTTTCAACAGTCCCCATACAGAGACTAAACCCAGCAGCGACCTGCCTCTACTCGTGGTTCGTGTCACTCTCCAACACGGATCAGCTTATTCGTCTGTGCCAAAACCATCAAAAACACACCACTGACCAGTGCCACGTCGCTTCATTACAATGTACCATATGAGTGAAAATGACCGGCTTGTCCTTTAAGGCAACTTTTAAAGAGACTCACAGTGTGAAAATCTTCTGTGATGGACAGGTGGCGCCTCCAGGTGCAGGAAGTGCTCACAGTGGGCCAGGAAGTAAACAGGAAGTCAGGAAGCAGGGTGGACGCCCTCAGATGTCCTGCAACACAGAGCAAACCAGATTTTCAGCATGCTGCATTTCATACCAAAACATCTGTAACATCTGTTCTCTGTAGTGAGGAGCTTCGCTGTTGATCAGGGACTAAACAACAAGAATCAATTTCCATCCGTCCAGCTTTTAACGTTCATGGTTTTAGATACTGGATCAGGAAACACATCTGTGGCTCGTAAGGAAGAGCAGTTGCAAAGTGTACATTGTTAATTCTGAGGAAGCTTGAGTAGATCTTTTGTTCCAAGACCTTTTGTGATTACTCTCCTTTATCAAAAGAAGCCAACCTTCATAAATGCTGTGTTGTCTGAGCACAAGCAGCCACACAAGAACTTTGTCAGATTCTGTCATGTAGTTCTTGATTTAACCAGAACTTTGCCACTTTTAAACGGTCTTTTACACACACTTGGAGGCCAGCCTTCATGACTTGACACATTCCTGTCAGGATGCAACAAGCAGCCGCAGCCGAGTTGTTCCCCCCCACAGCACAAGAGACGGGACCTGCTGTGTGATCAGCTGCTACAGACTGTTGAATAAAACTTACTGTCAAGTTCACAGACTGACTGGCTTTTATTTAAGGCCTAGTGGAGATCCCAAACATCTGAAGATCCCAAGTTTGTCAGGCTGAATGTTGAAGAAATGCACCTAATGCAAGCTGTGGCGGGTCCTCACATACTGGGACACATTTTTTGACAACATATTCCAAATCAAAACGGCTCCTTTCTTGCTAGAAAAAAATATCTGAAGTGACTAAGGGCTGGGGTTGGATACAGATGAAGCCCTATACACACTGTATGTAGCACTGCTGCTCATCACTCCCCCGGTGTCCTGAACACTTCCTGTTCTTGTCGCATACAATTTCTTTAATTGTATGTTTCATGTTTGGAGCAGGTTTCCCTTAATGTCTGTGCTTTCTCTCTTCAGCTTTGTCCTTAGAGGCCACTGTAGTGAACCCATAAAATAACAAAGCCTCTGGTTTGAATGTTTAGTTGGTGAGAATAAATCGCTTCAATAAAACCAGCTGCAGCTCAGTGAAACAGTCACAGCTGCTTTGCACCAGTGAGACGGAGAGAAGCTCCTCATGTAAAACAAAGAGAGACTTTTATGGCTGTTGCTGAATGCTGCATGGTTCCTTTCCATTCTGAAGCTAATTGGATTTCTTCACCGCGAGGTTCGGAGATCCAGCCTCCGGAGGTTTCTGATCTGGTTTGATGGCAGGAATCCAAAATCGACTGAAATCTAATCAGCGGTTCTGTGGCCTGAAGCCCAACTGATTTCCATTCATGAAGAAGCACCGAGCCAAGACAGAGGATAAACACACAAACATTAGATTAACAGGCAGAGGGGAGGAGAGGAGCCAAACGCCAGATGTTCCCTCCTTCAGATCCAGTTTGATTTTAAAGGCCATGAAGAAGAGAGTGAACTCAGTCACTGCTGTTTAATTTTCCTGTCTGAACACTGGCTGTGACTGTTTGCTCTGCACCCTTTTAAACAAAATCCTCCTAACGAAGCCAAAGTCAGCCTTGTTAGCAAGGGAGGCGGCAGAAGGAGGGTTTCCATTTGCTAACCTTTCCCAGTGAACTAATAGAAGCCATTACAGTGAGAGGTGTCCAATTAGACACGACCTCCCTAACAAGGTCAAGCAGTGGAGGACGATGGGAGAAGGCAAAGCGGCACACAGTCAGCAACTGAATCAGGTGCTTGGTTCTTTTACAGGCCTGACAGAGCGTCGGGCACGCAGGGCTGTGGGTGGGAACTCCCGGCTCTGGTGCACTGATGCACTCTGTATGAGCACGGACGTCTGCTGCAGCTCAACGCAGCACTTCAGTCATTAGAACAAGAGCAGGGCTGCCTCTGAATCCAGACAGAGACGATGAAGGGACACTACCCGTGTGTTGCAGAGAAGCTCGGCTGTGTAACAGGAGAGTTCACCGTCACCAGCAGCTGTAGGATCAGTGCCGGTGTCCGTCCACGTCACTGTAACCAGGCCGCTGCTCTATCAGCCAACGCCAAGCACACCGCTCCGATTAAGTTAGAGTTGCGTTCAACTTCTTTTATAAATGATCAAAGCGAAATCCAAATGAGCTGAGTTTTGTAAAATGCAGTCAGATTCTTGTTTGGAGTTTGCAGTTAACGAGCTCCATCTTCCACAGGTCGTAACTCATCAAACCTTCATCTCCTCCATCTGTTTGATTTCTCTCATTCTGTCTGTAATGAAACGCTCTGCTCTCTCTTCCCATCTGAAGCTTCTCTCCTCCTCATATCGATTCCACATCTCGGCGTTAATGAAAACTCGACTGCAGCTTCTTTACTATTCTAATAAACCTCACACTCACCTCCCAGCTTCTCTTTCTCATCATGTCCCACCTGAGTTTTGTTATCTTAATTTCCACAGTTGGTCCATTTCTCTTGTCCTGTCCCCTTTAATGATTTTACCTTTTTCTCCAGTAGAAGCTTGGGCCCATTTCCACCTGATCTTACAGACCGATTAACACTTAGTGGCTTCAACTGAAAAACTATAAACATCCATTTATAAGTTTTATTATCTCCATGAAAATGTTGGGCATTATTTACACTTTATTTGGAAAAGACATACTCCATTCTTTTCCCATCAGTCCACTAAAGTACAAATAATAAAACTCTTCTAAACGTGCCCGTTTCCCACACCTCGTCTCCATGAAGGTACCAAGTAAATATGTCAAAGTACTGAGTGAGCACCGGGAGAGTGCCAAACTGAAACTCTCCAAAGTGGCTGATGATTCCTTTGCTCTCCCTCTCTGGGACACTGTCAAACTTATCAGACCTAATGATGTTTTCAATTTAGTCGAGGACGCGGAGGGTAAATATATCAAGTGTATCCACAAATGTCACTGGTGGAAAGTAACCAAGTACATTTACTCAAGTACTGAACAACATTTGAGGTATATGTATGTTACCTGAGTATTTCCCTGTCCTGCTACTTCATAATGTGACTCCATGTCAGAGACAAACCGTGTACTTTTTACTGCACTACATGTATCTGATAACTTCAGCTCCTTTCCAGAATCAGATGAATCAAACCAAACCCAATAGAACCATCAGACTCTACTGATCCCGGTGGGAAATCCACCAGCTACCCAGCAGGATGTATAGCACTTCACAGTACAAGTCTATAAGGTAGTTACCATCAGCTCCACCTTTACCAGCTGCAGCATTAAAGTGATGAACACAGTAACGCATCAGTCACTATGATCCAGTAGTAGATCCACTAGAGATGTGGCACAAGTACTGGTACTGTTGGTACTTCAAGTACATTTGGATGCTCATACCTTTGTACTTTTAGTAACATGAATGACTAACCGGCAGCAGAGTGTTGGACACTGTGGTAGTTCTACTTTCACTGCTGACCTCCTCATCTCTTCTCTTCCTCCGTTGAATCTTTCCACCTTATTCTGCATTTTCTAATCACCTTATTGATTCCCAGTCATTTCCTCCTGTTGACTTTGGTTTCCTTCCCCCTGATGAGAGAAGACTTATTTTCTCCTTTAGTTAAGTCGGTCTTCTCTCTCTCTTTCATCACTCTGATGCGTCTTCATCTTGTCTCCACAACTCTGTCTTGTCCTCTCCATCCACCTGCTTCATGGCCCCTTCCTCCTCATCCTCTGTCACTCATGTGAAACTCATTCATCCTCAATCACCACACTGCTTTAGTGGGACCATAGCTGTCTAACTGGTGGTGACTGGGGTGGGTCACGGGCCGCAGGGGAATCTGCAGGCACCCGTTACACACTGACACGTTATCTTCATGTTAGTAGGTTTCCCTGTAGGAATCCTGCTCCTCTTGGATCTGTGCATTTACAGATCTGCAGCACTCTGTAGCTTCTGTGTGGCGGGTTTTAGAGTCAGGACAAAGGTCAGCCCGGTTGGCTGTTGCCCGGCCTGATCGATTAGCACTGCAGCTCTCAGGCCACAGGTCGGGTGTGTTGGCCGGCTGTCTGCGGTTTGAGCTGTTCCACAGGGCGATCTCCCTCACGACTGCCGTCAGATCATCCATGACTGTCTGTTGGCAGAGTACAACTCCGACTTCAGACTTGGTTTATCTTCACTGTAGTAAATGACTCAAAAGACTGTGAATGTCAGCATCTCAGGTATTTTTAGATCCTTCTCCGCCTGCTTCCCAGGGAGATGTTTCATCACTTTTTTCCGTCTGATGTCTTGATTTCCTCCTTGACTTCTCTCCCTCTCTCTGTTATTTTTGAGTAAAAAGCCTCTGACAGCCTTCTGATTTCTCAGCGCCGCGGCGTCAACGACAGCTTGGCAAAAAACATCTTTATCAAAGAACAGGAGCTTTGTAATCACAGGAGAATCACAGACACGTCTCAGAAACAAAACGAAGACTCACTTGACGTCTCTAAATTACAGACTTCACATATAACCTTCACACAGAGCAATCACTCAGTATTGTTCTACAAGTTTTGGCCTTTACATCCACTCAGGTCAGCACTGTGGGGTGGTGTTCTTTGTTAATCATCTTTTATCTTCCCTTTCTCTCTTCCCTTTGTTTGACAGTGTGATTAATTCAGACGACTGTGACCTCAGACCAATCGGATATTCTTATCCAGCTCTGTTTAGATGCAGTATAAACAAACCTCAAAGGGGCTAAAGATGCTTCAGGAGGTCATGAAGATCTCAGGCTCAGGCCACAAACAAACCCATGTACACTTGAAAGTATCTAGACCAAAAGCCAAAAGCCCTCTGGTCAGTCGTTACATTTTTGTCCATTTTAATAGTTTGTAAATCAAAAATTAGCAGCTGCAACCAACCGCCCCAGCACGTCTGCTGTTATTCTTCCCCCACAGTCATCTAGTGGCGAGGTTGCAGACTGCAACATTCAGCAAAGCTTTCATGCATTGTGCTCAACAGCCCTCATAGGTATTTCACAGCGATTATCGTAAACCCAGGACAAATTGTACCCAGAAAACAAGTGCAGCTGAATTGACCAATCAAAAACC